TCTAAATGAATACTTAATAAATAATTAACTAATCAACACTAGCTAAATTATTACGTAAGGCATTCCTAACAAAATTTTTTTAAAACAATGCAGTAGTGGTGTTAAAAATAGTGATTGACGTAGTACATAATAATAAACGGCACTATTTTCCACAAAAAACACGGATGATTTTGTTTTGTTGTAAGAAAATTTTGTTAAAATCATAATTGCAACGACATAAAAATTATCGTCTGCGCTTGAAAAAAAAAATTTAACTTAAGAAATGTCGATTGTGGGACACAATAAAAAATTAATAAATGAGAAGTAATTCTAGTCGTTGACGAGACTAGTACTAAATGAAGTAAGGAACGGATTTAATCGCTATATAATAAGTTTTTCTTTCTTTTTTTTAAAATTTTTATATAAATGTTAAGATTTATATCCGACAGCATATAATCACTCTCTTTAGCTACTTTTCATTGACTTCTAAGTTTGACTACTTGCATGCGAGCTCATAAAATAAAGAAATAAATGTCTTGCGATGGAAATATAAATTTTTAAAAACAATGATTAAATGAGTACTATTTAAGCACTACAGTAAGTAAAGCAAAAAAAAAAAAAAAAGCTGGGAAAAATCACAGAAAAGTACTTACATTTGTTTAACTCCGTAGTTACATTTCAGCAGGATATATAGATCGACCCAACTGAGTATTTTTTCCCTATCAGTTTAATAGTTAGTAATCATTTAACTAATTGTTGAATTTTTAAATTTGTTTTATTCCTCTGTATTCCCTATACTTTTTTCTAATTACTTCCGTAATTAAAAGATTCTAAGACTTATAGGTTTTGTGAAACGCAAACTGAGAAATAAAGAAAAAAAATGTTAAAAAAGCACCTAAAATTGCAATAACTCTAAAAAGATTTGAACTTTTAAAAAAAGAATGACAACTTTGTGTTTATTAATAAATATGGACCATTCGAAATACCAAATTTCAACTCTGTAATTTCATTCTTGTGAACTGTAGAGTGGCCTGTATGGTATTTTTTCCTACAAGTCAAACAGTTCATAATTCTCGAGAAATTTAACAACTGTAATTTATTTTTTATTCCATTGCACATTTTTCTACACACCTTTGTACTTTAAAGTTTTTTTTTTTTTTTCTCAAACAAGCGATAATGTGATGTTTAAACATTGTATTAATTTTTATTTAAACAATCACTCGCAATAACATGCTCGAAAAAAAAAAATTCTTTTACCTCATTATTCTAAATTGTAAATAATAATTTTTAAAATGTATGTCATACATTTTTGTACATAAATACAAGGACACTTTTGCTTTATTTATAAAATAACATAAGGTTTGCTTTTGGAATTTGCTCCAAATTTTTTAACTTCGGAGAAGTTTATTGTTTGAAGGTTAACTGTTGTTAATTGTTCAACGGTTGTTTTTCCGATTGATTTATTTATAATTTCTACATGATTCAATATTTTAAATATTTATTTCAGATAATTTAAACTACAATAAAAGAGTTAAAATTTTAAAGAAGAAAAATATACAGTTCACGATATTTAAAAATTAGGGAACATTCCTATCGAATGTGGTTTGATTGTTCTACTTCAAATGCACCATTCAAATTCTGAACTTCTAAATGTATACGGTTATATAAATTTTTCATTCGATGAAAAAGTTACAAAAAAAATATTGTCGGTGAATTGTTGGAAAATATTTTGTATTAAAATAAAAAAAAAGTTTGTTTTCGAAACATTTAATTGTACACAAAATGCTTTATTATAACAAAAAGAGAAGTAAAAATATCTCTACACTACTTTTAAGATGGAAACAGGTTAAAATTTTCAGTTTGTTACCAAACGACACAGTAAGAACAATTAGGAGGCTCCGATTTGGGAAACTGACCCATTAATATTCAACTTTAAGTAGATTTAAATTTATTTTTATTGAAAAAAATCTTTTCGTTTGCACAATGATTTTAAAAATGTTGTGTGAAACTGTGTAAGAAGAAATTGTTAGTGACGTAGTGTGGGTATCTCGATCTTGATGGGTTGTTGAAACGTGACATTTGTTTATGTTAACAACTGTTCTTTACATTTTATTTCGAGTAAGCCAAGCCTGTCAATTCTCTTAAATGATACATTCTATATTCTTACACAAGGATTCTTTCGCGAATTATTAAAAACCCGATTATTAAAAAGTATGGAATTTAAGTGGTTTGTCAATTCGAAATCTTTCTGCGCATGAATATGCAAAAAGAAAGAAAAGTAAAAGGATATTTACAATAATAAAATAAGGAGTTTGTCTGCGTGTGTCTCTTTTATAACTCCAGAAATATTTTTTCATTTATACTGAAATACGGCCAGCGGTTACAGGGAATAAATTCAGCCCTCGGTTCTAAAAAGTGTTCAAAATTTTCAATTAGTTCGTTTGGTTGAGCTATACGAAAAATGAAACTAATCATTTTCTTAGAACTCGCCATGATGATGAAGATATGAACGAGATAGCAGACAATTTTCTTTCTTCAAAATACATCTGTGATGCTTGTTGGCTTATAGCTCTAATTTGAAGGGGAAAAAAAGGATTTTTTTCACGTTCTTTAATATTGAACTATTTTTTATTATGTTAGATAAACTCAATGTGATCAACATGGACATGACAACATTGCTGGATTACGGCACCAAATTAGTATTCTTAAAGTTAATTGAAACCACTCATTTATGTTACTTTTATTCATGCTTTTAAAAAGTAGATCTATGAAACTAAATAGTTTAAAATCAACGCTAATTGAAATAATAAAAGTGAAAATAATTATATTTTATTGTTTGAATCAGTGGCGTATGCAAGGGAGGGGTTTAGGGGTTTAAACACCACCCTTGAGCTCAGACAAAATGGCAAAACTAAACATTTTAGTAGAAATTATGCGAGCATTATTTTTTAAGACTATATATTTTTATTTGCCTTATGCCTACTTTTTTTTTCTCACGGTATTTCTCAGAACACTGAAAAAACATTAACTATAATAGGGTTGTACTTTTGAAACCAAATTCACGTGATACTGTTACGGACTGGTTCCTTTCTGTCCTGCCAGTATAGTTTTCGAGACTGGCTGTCATTCGCGAGGTCTTTACGCGATGATTCTGGAATCCTAGACGTTCTGTCGTCTTTGAGACAATTCGAGAATTTTGGAGATGCGGTGAAAAATTATATAAAAGGGGGAACGGAGTACAGTGGAGTTAGTTAGTCAGACTAAGAGTTATCTCTGCCGCTTGTCTTTCGGAGCTTGTCGCTAAATCTGTTTTGATTTATCTCAACAAAAAGTTCATTCAATCGCCGAACCCGTCGTAGCCACTATTTCGACTAGTGAAGAAATCAGTAACAATACCATTGGAGATACTGTGCTCGTTGAAGTTATTCATTCCAGCTCGAAACTTTGAGATCGTAGCATAGCGGATATTTCTGTGCCAATATATATGTATATATTTTTGCTGTTCTTGGATCTTTAGGATGTCTAAACGCAAGAATTTAACAATTTTTAATTACTTTGAGAAAAAATCACGACCTGAAATTAGTGAGGTGACAGCATCTAGTACCAATGTAAGTTTTTCTGTTGAACAGAAATGTGATACTTCCGTTGAAGAAAACGTTTCTAGCGTAACAGAATCTGATGAATGTGAAAGCGGCCCTCAAAGTGTTACTTCCCACCCATATGATATTGGACTTTTTTCAGAAGATATTACATTATGTTCTTAAACTTAAAAAATCAAATCAAAATTTAACTAAACAATGTTGTTTAAATAAAAAGTCAAAATTGTCTAGCTGTCTAAATTAGGGAAATAATAGTGGTTTATTACAGACTCGAATTTCTTGAATTTCTTTTAGTAGTTTCAGAAAATTATGAACACCCCCCTTGAAAAAATTCTACGTACGCCACTGTTTGAAATGCAAAATGAATGGAATAGTAGGCGAAGCGAAAAATACGGCCATATTTTTATTGACTCCTATGATGAGACATTTTATGATGGGAGTTGAACACATCTGTAAAAGCAAAAGTGAGTCGCATCGACAGTCATTAAATACAGTAAGCATTCACAATCTACAGTAAGCATTCACAATCTGCAAAGGCTTAATAACTGTTTTCAATCTATTGAATTAAAACTATGTCAACATTTCAATATTACAACGCTTTGAATCACATTAACAAGTTTGAAAAAACTGTATTAATATCAAGTGTCATCCACTACAAGTTTAAAAAATTTATTTGAAATTGAATATATGTGAATAAAAGATATTTTATGAACGATTGAGAATTCGAACAAGATATATAAATATATATAAGGAGAACTAATAGTAGGAATTGAATAAAACAAAATTGGAACGTTTTTTATTTCTTCTGTACATAAATAGCAATAATTCTATTATTTTTGACTAATTGAGTTATTAATTATAAGGTGTTTTTTCTTGAAATAAAATACTTAAAGAACATTCTACGGACTCCTACTCGCGGTTAAAGTTTTCAGTAGATCAAATGAAGAGTAGAATTTATCGATTCTTCTCTGAGAGTACTCGTTTTGTTTTACACTCGCAACTGTCTTTCCATTTTATCAAATAGCAAACATAGATGAAGAAAATGAATTGAAAAACCAATTCCCTGATTCGTAATTACATTTATAAAAACGAAACATTTTTAAAAAAAAAAAAAACATAATTACAGTGATTTTCCTATCGTAAATGAAAGATTATATATATATAAAGCAGGGGGTGAAAAAACTATTAAAATGTGCTATTTCATAAAAGGCTTCATAATCCTATGTCGATTGATAAATATGAAAAGATAACATCCGTTTGAAACAGATTAAATAATGAACAAAAATAATTCTTTTTTTGGAAACTCCCCGAATCAATCCGAGCATCTCTTCTTCTCTTCGGCGTCTCATCGCTCTCTTCCCCTACATCCCCAGTGGACCCATCCCCCTCTCACTGCGCATGCGCTACGGAGGGTGTGAGAAAGGGTCAGAAAATCCAGTTTGCGAGGAACGCTGTCTTCAGTTGTTCATGCGGAGCTCTTGCCTGTCTAAACTCCGATAAATAATTTCTCCATAAAATTTTTCCTCTTGTGGATTATTATCGTTCGGACAACCCCCCCTTGTGTCTCAAGACCAACACAACTAGGATTATTATTACTCCCTTCGAAATGTTCGAAAAGGGTGAGTAAGGCTGCTTGCATTCTTTTCTTCTTTGCAGAATGGAATATTTGTTTACTCTTTTTCTCCTTTCCAACCCCTTTCTCATTTCACCCAACATATCAAGTATATTTTCAATCGTGTATTATTGGTGCGGACTCAACTCGATTCGAAAAGTAAATATTGAAGACGTTCGCAAAACCCACCTGTTTCCAATGAGTGTAAACGGAAAAGGATTAAATTTTTTCAATTCCTCGAATGATAGAGCTGTTTTGTGTTCACTTTTTCAAAACCTCTCAAAATAATGAGTTCAAATGAAAGCGCTGCCGATGTCGGCTTTTCCGAGAAATGTGTTTCTAGCCCTGTCCGGATAAAAACTCTTTAAAATAATACAATGAACTCTCGCTACTACGATATCCAATACAACAGTAACTCCCTTTATTGCGATCATGTTTCGTGCTCCCGACGTACTTGCATATGAATGAATGTCATTCTCCTCTCACTATTACGATATTCTCTGAAGCAATCAACCCCTGTAAAACTACATTTTTCCTCCAAATTTCAACCTTATTTTCTTCACTTATTATTGGTTTTCAAATAATGTAAAAAATCTTTTTTTTATCATCTTTTCTGACCAGAAAAGACTCTCAGCTGACCACCCCAAGAGCTTCCATTCTTAGAATGTCTTCTCCCTGTCACAAATGAGCACCTGAAAGAGAATTTTTATTTGTGGAGGGTGGATGGAGCACCATTTACAAGCGAAAATCATTTTCTTGCCTCATGCATACTTTGTGGGTTGACTTTGACAGTCAAAAAAATGAATAAACAAACAAAAATATCAGATTATTTTCAATAAAAATGGTTTTGAGGTGCGTTCACGATCTTATTTTCTGAATTTATATCAGTTGTTTTTAATAGTTAACACTCTGCAAATTGATCCTTTGCATAATATATAAATACATTTATAGTTAATACATACATAAAATATTTCTAAGGAGTAAAAAATTCTATAATTCGAACTAATTATTCTGAGGAAATATTATTTCGAACTCCAGTACAACCTCGCTACAACACTATTTTGGGGACCCAATAAAGGGCCTACATCGACATACTTTGGGCCATACTTTTACGACATCGACATACTTTTTTGTGTCCCCAAAGTATGTAGGCCCCCGATATAACAATAGATCCCTCTACAACACTCTATTTATTGGGTAGAATAATTAGTCCTCAGAATAATTAGTTCGAATTATAGAATTTTTTTTACCACTCCTTAGAAATATTTTTCTTGCCCCCTGCGAATAAAAATATTTAAAAGTGTTAACGCAACATGACGAACTTTTATATAAAATTTACAGTGATCGTAGCGTCTTATAAAAAAAAAAAAATTGCAAAGCGGTATTGAATTTAACATTAAAACTAATAAAATGTTTACATGTGGCTTCCATTTATTTTAAAAAGAAGAGACTTTCTGGTTCTGAAAATAATCTTTTAAATAGTTAACGAATCCTGCTAGTCAAAATATCTCGATGCAATATGTTTTACTATTATTCTATCTTTAATAGGCTACCATTGAGTTGAGACTTAGTTTGTATGCATCCTTGTTATGCATTGCATAATGTTCTTAGAAAAGTCTTAACGTAGATATGGAACAGTGTTTACTCATAGAATGTTTTCATTCTGTTCTTGTTATTGTGTGTGGTTATCGCACGAAGTACTTTGTGAACGAATTTGAATAGAATGAAACTAGTACGTCAAAGGTATTTTTATTTTTTAGTGTGAGATTTCAATTTTTAAACTTTTTTTTTTATCAACTCAGGTAAAAGCGCGAAAAACTACTCATTGTTAAATAATATCAGTTGTTGTTTTTTTTTAATATCAATCAAAAACAAATTTATTACCTAAAACTACTCATAAAATACATCGATATTAAGAAAAAATTGCAATAAGAATTTAACTGACTGAAAATTTGAAAAAATAATAATTATTTAACCAAATTTTTCTAATTAATGTTTTTTAAAGTTATAATTTTGTTTGTTTAGGCAATTCTATGCTTAAACAGATTATTTAGTTCACTGAAATTAATAAAAATACACATAATTGATCGAGATAAAACTGTACATATTTGTTAAGGAAAATAAGGATAACATATTTTCGAAACCAAAACAAATTATTATATTTGGTAATTTAAGACTATAAAATTTTGCTTAAGACTAATGTAAATAATACAATTTTTTTTATTTTTTTAAATAAAATTAAAAGTAAAATTTATTTGCTTTCTTTAACTGCATTAAATTTTATCGGTTTTAAATTTGAACTATTTATTGTCGAAATGAGCTATATATTGAACTATTAGCTGTCGTTAAACAATTGTTTGATACATTTTTAATTTCTTCCGTTTGGACTAGTTTCTTCCAGTTTTTCTCCCCTTTATTTTCTTTTAGAGTCTTGGTAGAAATAATTATTTTTTTTCCAGCTAGAATTCCCAACCCTAATCTTCGATATAAATTAAAACCTTAAAATACTTTTTTAGGAAAAATAAAAATCAAAAATAATTTTTTCTTCAAAACAAGATAAGTTTTTAAAAGAAATTACTTCCAGCATTTGAAATAATAATAATAAAAAAAAATATTTAAAATTAAGATTTTTACAACATGCTTTGAATACGAAATTTTAGTGTAATAAATTTTAGTCGATATATTAAAAAGAGGAAGAAAAAAAACTTCTTTTTTAGTCAATTTCTTATTGCTATGTCGTCAATAGGCGTTTATTTGAAGTTAGAATTTTTTTTTTTATTTTTTGTTTTGATGACTTAATTGATAGTAAGTAATTGAGGAAAACTACTGTACAACATAATCTCAACATCTTTTTTTCATCACGCATTTCTTTTTTTTCCCCTGCACTAAGTACTATTTAAGCGACTTTCCAAAAATAAGTACTAAATTCGCAGTTAAACAGTATTTTTCCAAATGAAAAAAATGGTTACTAATTTAGGTTCCTTACACTCGAGGAAAAGCTATAATGGTGAAACATATATACCATCTTGTTATAAAGAACTACCTGGGCTTAGAATAGGACAAATACTTCAACTAAAAAGTTATTAAACTTTTCTTTAAAAAGTCGCATGTTCCCAAGATTTTTTTCCCTAGATAAAATCTATCAAAATCCTAGAAATGCTATATAAAATCTATCAAAATACTGGATATACTAGAGATCCTAGATAAAATCTTATCCAAATCCTAGATATCCTAGACAAAATCTATCAAAATCCTAGATATTCTTGATAAAATCTATCAAAATTATTAATTCTCAATTTTTACAAATTTTTATGACCTCAGATAATACAGCGATAGTGTAATTTTTTAAATATCAAAAAATTAGAGGGAAAACGCTTTTTATTTAAATAAAAAAATAAAAAATACTATGATCTTTATTCTTGTTGGATGTTTTGCCGCCATTTTCAGCATGAGTGGTAGAGAATTCTGGATAAAGATGGGCTAAACTTGACCCAACATTCATGTTAACTAAGTATTGTAAACACACGGCTATTATAAAGATAACAAACACTGTATGATACGAAAAAACATTATTTATGTGACGACAAAGTTTTCAGAAAGCATAACCCTTAAAAATATATAGAAATTAAATTATGAATATTATAGGATTGTATTGATTTAATTTAGTTCATTTAAATAACTAATGCAGGTTTAAATCAGATTGATTTTCTAAATAAAATTACTAATTAAATAAATGTTTTTTTTCTCTTCAAAATCATTGATTTAATTGAATAGATTGAAATTTTTCAGTTTTTGTTTCATTGGAGTGAAATGTTTATAATTCAGTGTTTTTTGCGTTTATTCTATTAAACTTCAGTTACTAACTGTTATATTTGAGAAAGCATCCAAAAGATTTCATCTTTAATGAATGACAAAGATTTATCTTATATTCATAGCTAAAACTTTCATTTCGGAAAATGAAAAGGCTTTGTGTATAAAGAAAAGTTCAGATTTTATTTTAAATTTAATTTTAATTAAAACTTATTTAAAATAATAATAATAATTTATGATAAAATGTATTTTTAATGATATTATAGATATTATAGTATGGATAAAACATGTTTTTTTAACATTAATGCAACGTATAAAACCAGTTGTTTTAAAAATATTCTATTAATAAAAAAGATATTCTTAAACAAGGAGTTACTTTGTATCCTTTCGTTAAATTATTCTTTCTCACGTGGTAAAGTTACTCCTTTACTTTTTTTTGGAAAATAGATTTAATTAAAGAAAAAAATAGCAAACATCATTTCAATTGAATCAAATCAAAACTAAATATAATTATCCAAACTAAGATAGTAAGTAGACAAATAGCAGACTAAATATCAAAACTAAAAAATTTTTCATGAAGCAAATGTTCCATAATTAAAAAATAAAATTGCTATAAAATTGATTAGGTTGTCTGGTTTAAGTATTTTTAATTTTTCTCTTTCCTGTTAACTAAATTTCGTATGTATTTGTGATTCTTTATCATTAGTTAGTAAAAAAAATAGTATGTATTCGCTGTTGTGCATGATAAATAAATTATTGTTAATAATATTCTTTTTAAAAAAATATTATTAATTACTAATATGCTATTAAACATAAAATAAATATAAAATATTTTTAATAGAAGCATTATTAAAATTAAAAATGCTGATTTAAATCTATTAAATCTAAGTAAATTAAATCAGCAATTAAAAGTAAATTAAATCAGTAACCCTGAATTGTTGTTTACTAAATAAATTTATGTAATTTTTAATATATTATTTGTAATGGCGCAAACTCACAATTAAATACAATTCTAATCATTACTTAGTAAAAAAATAGTATGCAATCGTTGTTGTGCATGATAAAATAAATTATTGTTTATAATAATATTTGAAAAAAAATATTATTAATATGCTATAAAACATAAAATAAATATAAAATATTTTTAATAGAAACATTATTAAAATTAAAAATGTCGATTTAAATCAATTAAATCTA